AGATTGCCCATCGGAGCCGATATTCTCAAGGATTGTTGTTCTCGGTTAGGGCCGTTTATCCATCTTTGAGGGAGGCTATCGTGTGTAGCATATTGGTCGAGGCCGGCAACAAGATCCATAGAATACACCCTTACCAAGCTTCTGCAGTTCCAAGTAGATGGGATGCAATGGGATCGGGTGAACTATTCGCTAGGTTCTTACTTCTCAAACAGGAACGAATATCCATCAAAAAAGTTGGTCCGAACCACGCACCCACGTTGCATGACACCCGCCTTTACAGGCTTCCAGAGCGCCGTTGTTCCAAACGGGGCAGCTCTAGAGCCAAGATGTTGGCGTGGCCAATCGGGGTTGGAATAGAGATGGGACCTTTAATCTATATCGGCTATCAACATTAAAGTTAAATTTAGCATTGCCACATTTCGGCCCACGCACTGGGTGCGAGAAGACTAAAGAGTCGACAACATCCCTTCCTCTGTGGCGTCGTGTCAGCAATGACAAAACTGGGCTACGTGACCATGGTGGACGATGCTCTCTCCACAAACAGATAATCGGCTCCGGGCACGTGGATCTTGATCACCACGGGCACCACTTACATAGTAGGTACTAGAATCTGTACGGCTCCCGTTTTATTTGAATCAAGAAATGCGCTGTTCTCGTTCATGGTTGTTGTTGGTATCGGTGTCCGTCCACCATGGCGGGTGGAGCTCTGGCGAGTCAGATTTCAACAAATCCATCAAGCTTGGGCGGATCCGGCCTCGGCAGTTGTTGAAATGATTCAGATGAAGCAATAAATATGCTGAAATTCCTCCGAAAGTGTGTGGTCTAGCTGCGCAGGGCATCTTTCCAAGTGAGGAACAAAGCTTACCAAAATGCACCATGATGACGATCATACTCTTTACAACTTCGTGGTGACGATACACTTTACATCTAGCCTACTGATCGTTCTCTAAGCATCTCGAACCTTGCGTGCGATCCTGTGAGCCACGTGCAGTTTAGCTGACACCCGCACGACCCAAGCGGCTAATTATTGCTTGGTCACTATATGTAACCTTCCTAAAATATTCGTTCAGTCTCAAATTGACAGTGGCGTGATGTTTATCAAGAATGCTATCGGGGCCTTGAACCTTGTTCTTGCCGGGAACGCGGCTACCGGCACCACGGCGCCTACTCCAACTCAAGATGACTATGTAGTATTATCTACGCCTGTCAAAGTGACGAGCCAAGCGCTGCCCAATTAACTGGTTTCCTAAACGGAAAGGGTCACTTCTTTTGAGCCCCTGCCAAGTCGACTAAGCATTCTATCACGTGTCGCTGAATCGCAAGGTAATGTCAGCTTGCAATGCAACTCTGTTAGAGATTGTTTTTCAGATTGGCTTATAAAGTGAAAGCTAGCTCAGGAAATTGGAATCAGTCAGCCGCGCCCTCTCTCGGGTTCGGTCTGTTGCGTTCTAGCGAAGAAACAGCCGTCGTGACTGATACGATTTGAATTGTGTGAGAATCTTTGCCAGCATACGAGTACGTAATTTGATGACTGAATATATACACTCAGCTTTATATAATATTGTACAGGTTCTCCTTCTTCCTTCCACCGTTACCAATGAGGAGGCTCAAACCTTGACAAACCAGCCTTTGCCAATCTTCTTCGTCTTGACTATTCGCGCCAAGGTTAAGAAGAATGTTCCCAATATCAAGCAGCTGCCAGCAAAAGCCTGGGCGCCGAGGTATCGGCCGCCGGTAGCAGAGATGATGGCACCGGCGATTGGATTGCCGGTGAGCACCGCAAACGCAACAATAGTGAAGACCATCCCGATGCGCGTCCCTTGCTTGCTAGGGTCTGTCGTCAAGGCGCTGACGTCAGCCGGGAAGAGGGCCTGGATGGCGTTACCCGCGATGCCGAAGAAAATGGTCCAGACATAGAGTCCCGATGGGGACTTGACAGCGATCCAGCAGTAGGTTAATAGCCCAGAGATCAGAGCCATGGGTGTGAAGACTGTGATTGTGCCGATCTTGTCGGCGAGGAAATTCGGGCCTAGGCGCCCGATGAAGCCGATGCCGTTCAGAACCAGTAGGAGATTCAGCGAGTCCGTGTACGAGAAGCCGAGCTCGTCTCGACTGAAAGAGGCCAGGTAATAAAAGGCAAAGTACACCCCCATGAAGGACTGGACAAATTCAAGTCAGCGGTGACGTTCAGTTTCAACAGGCGAAAGATGAATTTACAAAGAACCCCCCCGCAGTATAGAAAGTATACTCCAGTTCCTTGAACGACGCCAAGTCCACCATCTTGCTCGCTTTGCGCGGCGGTATGCGCGGCTTCAGAAAGATGAACCCAACTGTCAGCGTCGCAAGCTGTATGAAGCCAAGCGTGCGCATAGCCCATGGAAACCCAACCTGCGGCAGCAACTGTCGAACCGTACTCGGGAACACCAAGCCGCCTGACGCGCTTCCTACAGCCGCCATGCCGATGGCGATGGCCCTTCTCTTGTCAAAGTAAGTCGATAGCGTCGCTAGGGATGGGCAAAACACCAGACCGAAGCCCAGGCCTACGCAGACGCCGTGCGAGAGGAAAATCTGCCAGTACTGCGTGCACCACGACGTTGCAAAGATGCCGAGCAGGATGAGAAAACAGCCGGAGAAATAGAGATGGCGAAAGTACCCTGCATCAGTGAAACGGCCGGAGAATGCGCCGATGAAGAAGAGCAGGAAGACTTGGAAGGATCCGATCCATGAAATGTCTGACGGTGGTCTCTTCAGCTGCTGGACGTAATATGTCTGGAAGACGCCGAAAGAGTTGACGAAGCCCCTACATTGCCCGCCATGTCAAACCACTTCATCTTCAAGGTCCTGTTGCGCTGTTGTCTCACTCACCATGTATCCATAAAGATGAAATGCGCGCTCAGTACTATGATAACCGCCCGTCAGCTCCACTCCTTCAGCAAAGGCAGCATCTCATTCTCACCGGCCATCCAAGCATTGTATCCCCCGTCAGGCGGCGGCCCGGGATCCGCAGTGGGCGCTGACGCGATGCGGCTCAGCACGCGCCCAACGCGGCTCCCTGTCCGGTGCGTCTCTTCTCCTACCAGACCACCTTCGTTCCGCGACGAGTCGGACCTCGTCTCCTTTTCTATGCTGCTATCCATCATCACAGTCTGTTGTTGGGCGACATGCGTTCTGATGTCGAGAGGGTGGCGTCATAGACCTGGATGGACATTGATCGTGTGTGTTGTGTCCTGGGAATAAGCGGTTTTTCATTCCCGTATGCTAGTCATGGCGGGGAGCGCGCAGCTTAAAGACTCTGTTTGAACCAGTTTCCTCGCGCTTTCGCGCTTAGAACTAAAAACCCTTTTCTCCTTTGACTCATGGGCAAAAGTCCCTAGTTCGTCACTCAGTCTTTGCCGAGGTTAGGCGGTGTGTGTGGTAAGGGTAAATGAATAGCAGCGCCCCGCGAAACTATTACTTAGAGGCGGCAGTAAGAAGTTGAAACTTGACAATTAGTCATTGAGAACTACAATTGGCACCGCTCGGTGATTGACTTATTCAATCTAAGTAGCAAATTTCACACGCCCTTTGGCGCCCTTTGGACCGGAACCGCACGGCGAGCCAACCAGGATGCCGATGAGTTGCCAGGATATTGAGCCAACTCTGTCGGAAATGCGGCGGAAGTACCGGGGATCCTCCCGTTCCCCGCGATCTCTTCCGAACTAGTAGAATTGGTTGTCCTTTGGCTGTTAGTTGGACAACAGTTTCGCAACTTCGTACGAGCCTTAATCCTATGCTACATCTATTCTCACGGATCTGATTAGAGTCGGTTCAAGTTTCCGATGTTTATCATTGCATGATGCAAGTAATTGACTTCTTTCCAGGGCAGAAAAATAGTAAACGACTGTAATGAACTGGACGCTCGCAAGTATTTTTGCTCACATAGCCGCAAGCTGACTAACACGGTCGCCCACTCCGCGGAGATGCATCTTACTTCGACTTCATGTCGTCGATGGCCGAGGTAATAGCAGCTTACATTTCTCTGTTCCAATTACCTAAGGCGATCTGGTCATCATAAGACACTTTGTCCACATGTCCAGCGACGTTTTCACTAGAGAGTCATAGCTCCCATAATGGGTCGCTGTAATTTTGAGATGAGAAGAAAGCTCACAAGATGACGTGTAGGGGTGCATCATCAGCAAAGATGAGACGACCCCCGCCTGAGAGGTGATACATTGAAGATGAAATTTCAGCACATGCCATCTTGGCTAGTGAGTTACCGCTCATACTGTGCAGTCTGTTAATTCCATGATTACTGAGTCGCAAGCAGCGTACATCATGATGCGACTCACTGGTTGATGATTTTGGCGAAGGATATCGCATTAAGTGAAGGCGTTTACGCACCAAGTCGGATGCGCCACAAACTCCATGGACATTTTCATGATGCAAAGGGATAAACACAATTGAGCAGCTGAGCCAAGGCCGTAGGAGAAGCCGCATTCGAGTCCGTGTTGGCCTTTGACTTTCAAATACAGAGCTTCTCGCTCATCAATTCGCTTCAGTGAGAGTTGCACCTTATGTAAGAGGGTGGTATGGGCGACGCCTGGTGTCACGAAAGGGCGAGCCCGTCAAGAAAGCGAGAACAATGAGGTCTAATCCGGGCTTCGGCAGACAGCCTTGGCTCAAGTCGCTGAGTCTTTCAAGGGCTCTGTATCGTTGCCAGACTGGGACTTGCGCAGGATGTCGCAAACGGCTCTTGTGCTTCGCCAAGTGCCCATTGATTGTAGCTGATACTATGAATTCGTATCACGAGCTTCTTCGGTGAGCCAGACGCTTCCTTCGAATCAAGAATCAACTCTTTTCATCAATTTTCCAAGACAGTCTGCCTTTATGCTCATATAAACCACAAAGTGAAACGTCCGGCAACGTGGACCAACATGAAGAGCTCTTCATTTCTCCCAACTGTAAATCATAATTCTCATGTATCAACGTCCTGCATCACTCTTTTGAGCTCCGCATAAATCATGCATTCTATCAATCTTTACCTTCTTCTTACACATACCTTGATCACGAGCCTCCTAGCTAACCCAGTCCCCGTCACCAACCACACCTCCACCCCCAACAACGCCCGACGATCCTACTTCACCCCCGTCCGCGAACCCGAAATGTACCCAGTTGAATGCCACGACGAAGCCGAATTCCGCGGCCACGCCGACATTGAGCCCAAATTGTTCTTCGAGGGCGTCTACAAGTTCTGCCAGCAGCGCTACGACACGACGCAGGTCCTCGACGCGAGTGACGACCCGACGAACCCCGCTTACCACGACGGCAACGGCCGCCTGGCCCGCAATGCGAGCTGGCGGTACCGGGACTGGCACGGAGTCAACCACGACTTTAGAGTTTGGTGGGAGGCGGGCTGCAGGGTGACCGTCGGGAAACAGAGCGTGCAGCGCCCGTTGGGGGAGGAAGGGGGCCCCGTGTGGACGCCGGGGTGTTATGAGATCATGGGGTCTACGCATTATGAGTGTGAGTTTTCTTTATTTTGGGCAACCCCGATTGTCGTGGCAATCTACGATTTGGGGTTTTTGCCAAGGCGTGTTTGCAAGTCTATCTTACTTATGATCACGGATTATAAAATGTTACTGACGCTCTTATTTTCTGACATGTAGGTAAAGGCAACGGCGGTGTTGGTGGAAGGAAGAAAGTCGGCTGCCTCATTTACGAGTATAAAGGGGGAAAGGGTGATAATGACGACTCGGCGTCTTGATGAAGAGCCGGGCTTCATATTGCAGGACGACGGCCACGATGAGCCATGTGAACTTCCAAAGATGGCTTGGTCTTATGGACTCATGGGGCAGATTATCTGCGAGAAAAGGATATAGTTGACAGCTCGCGTTGATGATATGGCGCGTGACGAAGCGCAACTGCGATATCCCTGGTACGGTCAGAATCCCCAGACAGCCCGATACTCTATATATCCCTGTTCTCAGCCCGATGGTGGTGCCATTGTTGGATCAGCGTACATCGGACCCTGAATGACGTACAATTGATTGCAATTCTCATGGGGAGTTTAAAAGGGAATGATGGCCCGGGCATGATTTCTTGTATTGATGTTACGTAGTTACGGGACCCGTGCCCATTTATTCCGCCACACGCCGCGAATATCAAGAAGCTGTCAAGCATCTCAATATACGTCACAATGGATACGCTTTTCATGAAGGCAGTGAGCATTAAGATGCCTGACTCCCTCTCAAATTTCATACAAACCGATCCGTGGGCCGGTAGACACGCTCGTGCTACTTCTGTCAAACAATCACCGCCCACTATCAAGCAAGTTCCAGCGCCAGCGCCCGTAGCAGCGAAGATGGAGCAACACAATGAGACACAGTAAACCAACCCTTTAATAGTGCAAAGCAAAGAGACGGAGATTTTCAGAACTTTCCATGCTGACAAATAGCGGTCAGACTGAACAGAAACCTCTCCGAGGAGACCAAAGACACGAATAGCTCGGGAGGAACGAATCGAAGCAGCGGCGAGAGCGCCGGTGGTACTCGCAGCAAGGGCAAGCCAAAGGGAGAGTTATCATCCACGGTAGATACTCTCCTGAATAAGGCACTGGGTTTCGGAGCTGCGAGTGAGGCTGAGAAGAAGAAGAGCGGTGATGCTTGAAGGTTTCGAAGGGGCGGGTACGAAAGTATGATTCATGTTTTGAAGCGTTATTTTGTGTAGTAGATTGTGCTTGATGCTAGCGAATAGCATATTTGTTTTGCTCGAATGATTGTCGTATATTCCAAGTGAACTTCGAGATGTTAGCACGATGGGAGGGTTGTTCGCGCCATGCTCACATCCTGACCCAACTGCGGGTTGAACATGGGTTGTCTCTCTACGTCCTCACCGCTGCTGCATCGACGAGAAAGCGAAACCTCTTTCCCTGAGAGCGAGGAAGAGGAAACTTAAGGCGCATCTATCCCACATAAAAGCAGAGAAGCATGATATGCAACCCACGCCGTGCACCCCGGGCTTTCGGAGCTTTCCCGCGCTATCCAGGCGTCTGGTGCCCCCGCTCCCAGGACCCCGCGCTACCCCGCAACGTGACGCCACCCGGACGGCGCCCGATGCTCCTCCGGGATAAGCATATCGGCAGCCGGCTGACGTGCCCGACATGGGTACTGATAGCGTTATTCAAGGTTCTATATATATTTTCGACTACATGTATACAATCGAGAAGAGAGAAGAAATAAACAGATCTGGTTCTCAGTGTCAGCCTATCTGCCAAGTCCTCCCACCGCTGATTTGGAGTATCATCCCCCACAAAGTCCCGGTGATGCCGTCGGCGACATGAGCCGAGATAAGATTATGGGTTTACTGATAGATCATACCCAATTTCGTCGTGTAGGGACTCATCATTGGCGATTCTCAGGGCTCCAAAAGATCCAGACTACCAACCAATTGAAAGATGGCACGCTGCATAGATGATATTCCATCAGAACCGCGCAGTCTTGGTACATACGCGAGTGATACGTCGGCTTGGCTAGCGGAGTGTAAAGCAGCCACGAATCCATCAAATACCGTAGAGGAATTACCTTCTCCAACATCTTTCCAACTTGCAAAGTAGTTGTAGTGACCCAGCCTAGTCCTCGTAACAGCAATTGCCCGTGACAGCAATGCTACCCAACTTCCTCGCCACGGCGCTGGCCTTGGCCACGGTAACGTCCGCCTCCCCAATCACCAGGTCTTCATCGACAAATGAATGGGATCTGGACTGGATATCAACAGATTCATCCCTCCCAAAAGTGATGTAAGTCTTTTCCCAACCCTCATAAGCACTCCCACAAGCACTCTTATGAGCACCCAGTTAACCAACCCAACACAGCATCTACAACGCAGGGGGCACAATCCTCTCCGCCTCAAACTATAGCCGCTTAGATAACATAGCCTACGGCGCCGGCGCCTCCCCAACGCCCTACGACCTCATCGAAAACGTCTCCGAGGCCCTCAAGGTCGCTCAGCTCGCCGTCGTGGAACTCAATGCCCCCGGCGGCAGCGCGGGGTTGAATTCGTCGCTGTATTTGAATATCAGCCAGCTTGCTAACGCACAGATTTGTGCCGAGGGGAGTGATGTAGCTGGTGCTATTATGTTTCATGGAACGAATACGTTGGAAGAGACGGTTTGATATCCAAGTCTGTGGGTTGTGGGGGATATTGGCTGATGAAGAGGATACTAGGCTTTCGGCGTGGATTTGACGTTTAATTGCTCCAAGCCGTTCGTCGCCACGGGATCCATGAGACCTGATACGTATGTCTCCCCTGACGGACACGCGAACTTCTACCAGGCTGTTGCGGCTGCTGCCTCGCCTTCTTCGCGTGATCGAGGGGGCCTAATCGCCTTCAACGACAGGTAAATTCTCTGAAAACGTGTCCATTACACTTAGCACACAGCCCCTGATCAGCCGGAAGAGGCATTTCATCAACGAATAAGGCTGAAGGGAAATCAGTTTCGACTAACAAAGACACCTGAAATAGATTCACCTCAATCTACTACTCCACCAAAGTCAACGCAAACACACCAGACACGTTCAAGGCCCTCGAGCAAGGGAATCTCGGAGCCTTTCTCGCGGGGCAGCCGTATTACTTCTTCGACCCGGCGTACCCGACAGGACGGCCTTATTTTGATGTCACGGGTGTGACGGAGCTGCCTTCTGTGATTATTGTTTATGGTCATCGTGAGTTGTCTTTCAATCTTGAGTCTGCCCGATAACTTCCCACACACGAGGAGAGGGTTTGGTCCATGGAGGAAGAAAAGAAAGTTGACAGTAGAGTTTTGTAGAGGGATTTGATGCTTCGTTGATGCATGCTGCTGTCGCCAACGGCGCAAAGTAAGTCCATCCCTGATCAGACATCGCTGAAACCGACTAGAAGCTGATGTCCACGCTATCAGGGGCTTGGTGATTCTCGGGCCCGGCGCGGCAGCCGTGAGTCACAGCGCCCGAGCCGCGGCCGCGGACCTGCTGGAGCAGCGGGAGATACCCACCATCGCCGTCGCGCGACCCGTCACCGGCACCGGCGTTCCGAGTCCCTTTCCCGGGCCGCTGTACGTGAAGTCCCCAAAGCCTCAACATACTGAAGCCAATCATGCGGTTGCCCCTTCTTCAAGTTCTGAGAAAACTTGCTCTCGGATATCCGCTGACATAAGTTGCAATTAGGATCTACTCGAGTTACCTCGGCGGCGAACAGGCGCGTATTATGCTTCAGCTCGCTATCGATGCCGGGCATGACATCGATGCGATCCGGGGGTTGTTTGAGAGTCCTTTGAGGAGGACTATCTATGATACGCCTGCGAACCAAAAGTTCTATTACTCTAGATGAGGGAAAAGGGTGCTATGGTGAAAGAGAAGGTATGGTCGAGAGACCTACAAGACATGGTGATACAGTAATGATACAGGAACGAACACATGAGAATTACGAGCTATCATACGACATTGCGTCCTGAATCTGGCACCTGATTGCCATTGAGCCGAGGACAGAAGGACAAAAGAAGAAAGAAGATGGGGGCAATCACAGCGCTATCATTACATTACTCTTCACAATCACCTGCCGTCTGTGAATATAGTGCCGGGGAAGGAGTTGTTCGTTGGAAAGCACGACGTATCAGGCCAGCTTGGGTCTGTTTGCTGGACCGGCAGACGCATCTAATCCAAATGAAAGTAGTCTACAGAGAAATGTCAGGTCAGGGCCAAGTCATCAACACTTGCAGGTTTGGATACATAAGTAGTCGTATCTACAATATATAGCAACGATAAATATCTATCATCTCCAGTTTTTCTTAGATCAAGGCGCTTTCGGAGCTTCACCACTTTGTACATAATCCAAAATACTAAGTCGCCTTTGGGAGTCACATCTCCTCTTTCGGTGCATCATTGGGAATTGCGAAACTCAGAAGTCTCGCAACTTTCGCCCGCCGAGGGGCCGAATCGAGTCGGAAAACTTACCGAGCGGGCCTGCTAAGAAGCGGCTCCTGGTCGTCGCCCTCGTGCTCGTCGGCGAGCTTCTTGGCCTTGCTGCCGGCGAACGGCCAGTACCCCTTCTCGTTGCAAATCATGGCGAAGAAGCCCGCGGCGACGGCGACCCAGTAGAGGTTGTAGGAGACGACGGAGCCGACGGTGGCCGAGTTCTGCCAGCCGAGGACGGCATTGAAGATGCCCCAGAAGCCGCCTCCGTTGAGGTCGGGGTTGCAGCACTGCGTTTTGTGTCAGAATTTGGTATGTTGGTAGTAACGATTGAGGAGGTCAGGGGGGCTTACGTTGACGTGCCAGACGCTTCTGCGGACGTCGTAGGAGCCGGGGCCGGAGCCGAGTTCTGCTGCGTCACCTCCGACGATTTTGTTCCACTTTGGATTTCTGCGTTAGTATCACCTAGCAAATGTAATTAGGGATAGGAGGTTGCTTACCTCATTCTGCTCGAAGTGCCAGACGCCCTTGGAGAAGAGACCGGCAGCGATGAGGTACAGGAAGCAGGTGGAAACGATGAGGAAGATTTGGATCGGTGCCGTCTTGGAGCCCCTTTTCCCCACAAAGTCAGTACGGATGCGGCACAACTTCAAGAATCACCGCGATTAAACTCACTTGTAGATGAAGTAGCCAACAAAGGCACCAAGCGCAAGACCGAGAATAGACGAAATGGCAATGGATGCAGCAGTCTCGCTCACACCCACGCCAGCAATGAAGAGCACGCCCTCGAAACCCTCACGCAGGACGGTAATGAATGGCA